TTTAACTGGCGTTCTGCAATGTCATGGAACATATCTTTTTCAGCTTTCAGGACCTACCCCTACCACTACTCTTAACTTCCTAAGGCTATACGGGGACCTCAGCAAGCATAGCTGTCTACCTCTCATCGGTGAAGGGAGGAGGTTCCCTCTCTCGCGGTGGAGATAGGTAACGGCATGTTTGCCCCTTTGCCCTAGCGTCTAAGGGGTGCAGGGTTGGGGCTGCCCGTGGGGGCCTGGCTAACACAAGGACAGAGCATTTGCCATTGACTGTGCCTCCGGTTTCATCTTCCTCCACTGCGCAACCCACTCACACGCGCACTCACACCCGTGTGTGGGCTGAAGACCTTACAGATACCGGCTGGGAGGATCCAGCTGACTATGTCAGTTGGTGGCACCAAGAGTGCCACAGGCGGGCCTGGGGATTGAGCCCACGACCTCCTGAATGCCACTTGCGTGCCTAACCAATTGAGCTAGTCCGCTGGATTAGTCGACAGGTAATTGAATTGGTTGGGCTGAAAAGTGGGGGGGAAATCAGGTAATGTGTATGTCATCGGTTCGTTGGAGTGCCAGCTGAGCTAGGCCCGTTGATATCTGTTTGTTTGTTTGTTTGTTTGTTTGTTTGTTTGTTTGTTTTTTTTTTTTTTTTTTTTTTTTTTTAATGTGGATATGAACTGATCAGATCAGATACTACACTTTATCTTAACAAAAAGGCAAAGAAAAGATTTGGGCTTTGGTTGTGTGTTTTTTTTTTTTTTTTTTTTTGGTTTTGTTCTTGAAGACGAGAAAGGTATTCTGTTCTTATTTTGCTTCCGTTTCTTTGCCCGTGTATTTCTTGGGATCATGAATGCATCTAAGGGCATACTCGCACTAGGACTTTTGAGACTCAGTCCTGGACGTGATTGAGGTCAGATGCATGCTGAAGGAGCCGCAATTTCGGATCCGATACATCCGTAAAGGTCGGCATGTGATTACCATCTGATTTTGCAATAGTCCTTAGCTCTCATTGTGATCTTGCCATACTTTCCATGAATGCATGTTAACGGAGCCGCCAAGTAAGAAAAGTTTTCACTGTAAACTCCGAGAGAAGAGCGAGGCAAGTGCCCAAGGAGCTTGCCTAGGGCTGTCCACCCATTTCCATTTCAACACTCGGGATTCACTATGGAATTCGGTAAACACACTGCGAAGTCCAAAAGTTTGAACTGGAAGGACGGTACAGGCCACTGCATGTTCTAAACGCTGCTTTGTCCAGTTGGCGAGTTTGATGCAACTGTAAGGTGTGTGCGCCGTGTGTGTGAGTGTGTGTGTTGTGTGTGTGTGTGTGTGTGTGTGTGTGTGTGTGTGTGTGTGTGTTCCATATCAAGCCTGTATGGATTAAAAGGTAAGAAGATATTGGTCATTTACAGAGAGAGAGAGAGAGAGAGAGAGAGAGAGAGAGCACTAACTGTGCTGCCAGTCTGAAGACTCTGACGTTCTGAATTGAACTGCAAAGTTTGAACTTTTAAGTTATTATATATAAAGTTATGAACTCAAATTACTAAATCCAAGTTCAAAGTTCAAAAAGTTAATCATACATTTTTCAAAAAAAAATTCTGTGTTTCTTTAGTCTTGTGCCTGCTTTGCACTGTTTGCAACTCTGCATGTCTGCTGGTTAAATGTGCTGGTTGATTTGCTGCAAGACACGTGCTCTGCTGTCTGAACTACAGAGTTGAAAGCAGGTAAGTGCCTGCCAACACCCCAAGCAATCCCCCCCGGCCCCCCCACCTCCGTTTTTTTTTATATTTTTTTTTGGGTCTGGATATTTTTGCACCCCGGGGACCGGTCTGGTGATGTCCGATGTCCGGTGTCCGGTGATGTCCGGTGTCCGGTGATGTCCGGATCACTGGACAGTCCGGACCGGTCCAGACACTGGTCCGGAAGACAGTCTGGAAGTGTCCTGTGTCCGGGGTTACCATGATATCAAGCCTGTATGGATTAAAAGGTAAGGAGATCTTGGTCGTTTACCTCTCTCTCTCTCTCTCTCTCTCTCTCTCTCTCTCTCTCTCTCTCTCTCTCTCTCTNTCTCTCTCTCTCTCTCTCTCTCTCTCTCTCTCTCTCTCTCTCTCTCTCTCTCTCTCTCTCTCTCTCTCTGTGTGAGTGTGTGTGTGTGTGTGTGTTCCGTATGAAGCCCATATGGATAAAAAGGTAAGGAGATCTTGGTCGTGTACCTCGGCTGCACCTACTGTCTTTGCCGGAATAGAATGTACGGTCATTATATCTGTATTTGGGGCAATTTTCTGTCTAGATATAGACTGTACCTCTCCTCCATCCTCTCTGCCTCTCTGCATGCTTTGCGGCCTCTCAGTGGTGCTGTGAATCTAGCCAGAACTATAGCAGCATTGCCTGAGCAACCAAACTGAATCGCAGAAATCTGTGAACCTAGCCACACCTGTAGTAGCTGGCCTCTGAGACAGCAGACTGAATTGCAGAAATCGGCGAGCCATCAATACCTTGAATGCATGCACGTGGTCGCAGATGCAGGTCAGGTGAGGGCAGCCAAGTTAGAGGGAAAAACCTGCGGTAGCGTGGGATGGAATTTACTAAGGAGGAGAGAGGGATGATTGGGAGACTCCTACGCGAGCCCATTGTCTGAGATGCTGTGGGCCAGGGCTTCCACCATCCCCCGGAACACAACTCCCCCTGATAATGAACGTATATAAACCACCTTT